GACTCACATCTTCATCTTTTTGATACTTATTGTGCTCCTACTTTAGCATTGAATCTTATTTGTGTAGGTCAATTCTGTGATTTAGGCTTCCCCATTCTCTTCTCTTCTTCTTTTTGTTAAGTATGGGATCTATAGACGGGGAAGATTCTTAGGATGAGCTACAAGGTGGGGAGATTATTTGAGCTCGTTTATTCCCACGAAAGATGTGTTAGCTACCACTACATCTAATTCATTCTTGTATTAATGGGATTTTCATCTAAGTCATGTTTCAACTAGTAAACGTCATCCTCTAATTTCTCGTGAGTTATTATGATTTATAAAATTTAGGCCTTTTAATTATTTTTATTGTCAACTTGCTAAATAACAAGCTCTATCATTTAATAATATAATACTTCCATTTCTGATTCCCTTTTTAGGTTTGTTCACTCAGATTTGAAATTGAGGTCTTTTTCCCATTTCATCTATGAATGCTTATCAATATTTTGTTGTTTTTATTGATAGTTATTCTTGTTTTACTTAGATATATTTTTTGAAATAAAGATTTGAGTTACCATAAATTTACATTAAGTATAATACCATGATTAAAACTCAATTCTTTCGCACCATTAAAATTTTTTGAACAGATAATGTAATTGAGTATCAAGATTGTTCACTTTTTTACTTCTTTGATCAATAGGGCACTATCTTTCACTAATCTTACCCTTGTACATCTTAGAAAAATGGTAAAGTTGAACGTAAACACCACACATTCTTGATTCGGTGCATGCTCTTCTCATTTCTTCCTCATGTCTTGAAAAGTTATAAGGTGAAGTTACCTTAACTATCGTATTTGCAATAAATTGCACTTTTACTTTGATCCTTAATAAGATTTGTCTTTTGAATGTTTGTTTAATAAGCCTCTTAATTATTCTATTCTTAAACCTTTTGGGTGTATCTATTTTGTTCTACTACAACTACACGAACATGCCAAATTGGAACCACGTGCTCAACTTTGATATTACGGTTAAATGGGATTGAACACAATGGTTATCGTTGTTGGGATCCTTCTTCAAATAAGTTATGTATATCTAGGATATCACATTTTGGGAAAATGCATCATATTTTTCTTTATCTAAATCTCATTCTTCATTTTTTACTTTTTTTTAGTTTTTTATTGATGCATATATTGAATTATTTCACGATTCTACTACAAATACTTTCAATTAGCTTCCTTATATTCTTACCTTGACTCGTTCTCTTGAAGGATCCAATCTTATTGCTAATACTATAACTACTCCCAACATTAGTTGTTTTGCTTAGGTAAAAGAAACTCTTCATCATTTTCGTGATTTTTATTATTGTAGCCTTTCATGAGCCTTAATCTTATAGTGAGGTTAGTATTGACCCTCATTGACAATAGGTTATGGATGACGAGCTCCAATCTCTTGAGAAAACTCATACTTGGCTTAGTTGACCTACTCATGGTAAGACTCTTATTGGTTGCAAATGGGTTTATAAAATCAAAAAAGCACTTAGATGACTTTATTGAATGTTATAAAGCTTGCGTAGTGACCAAGGGTTTCCTTTTTTATTTTCTTTTAGGTTTTTACTAACTCATTTGTTGAGTTATTTTGCGATTATTCTACAAATACTTTCGATGAGCTTCCTCATGTTCCTGTCATAGCTTTTGCTTTTGTAAAATCTAATCCTATTGCTGATACTATAATTGTTCCCAACCTCTGTCGTTTTATTCAAATAAGAAAAACTCCTCATCATCTCTGTGACTATTATTGTTTTTTTTTATTATTATTATTGTAGCCTTGAGTGAGCCCTAATCTTATCATGAGGCTAATATTGACCTTCATTGGCAACTAGTTATGGACGGTGAGCTCCAAGCTCTTGAAAATACTCATACTTGGTTTAGTTGACTTGCTCATGGTAAGACGCTTATTGGTTGCAAAAGGGTTTATAAAATCAAAATCGGCCTAAATGGCTCCATCGAAAGTTATAAAGCTTGTTTAGTGACCAAGGGTTTCCTTTTATCCCTTTTTTAATGTTTTGCTAACTTATCTGTTGAGTTAATTCGCGATTATACGACAAATACTTCCAATGAACTTCTTTATATTCTTGTCCTATCTCTTGCACTTGTAGAATCTAATCCTACTATTGATATTTGCAACCACTCGCAACCTTTGTTGTTCTACTCGAGTAAGAGAAACTCCTTATCATCTCCATGGTTATTATTGTTTTTGTTATTGTAGCCTTGCATGAGCCTCAATTTTATTGTGAGGCTAGTATTGACCCTCATTGGCAGCATGTTAAGGATGACGAGCTCCAACCTCTTAAGCAAACTCATACTTGGTTTAGTCGACTTGCTCTTAGTAAGACTCTGATTGGTTATGAATGGGTTTATAAAATTAAAATCCACTTAGATGGCTCTATTGGATGTTATAAAGCACATTTAGAGACCAAGGGTTATATTCAGGAGTATGGAATAGATTATGAAAATATCTTTGCTCTTGTGGCTTGCATAATCTCTACACGCTGTTTTTTAGCCATTGCTGCTATCAAACGTTGGACACTTCTTCAAATAGATGTTAAGGATGCATTTCTCAATGGCATTTTACAAAAATAAGTGCACATGTTATCTCCTCCTAGTTACGCTCATATTTTTCATAAATTTTGTAGGTTTTAATGAACCTCATAGGGTTTAAAACAAGCACCAAGGGCTTGTTTTGTAAAATTTAGTTCCATTATTGCTCACCTTGGTCTTCTTCTGGCCTTCATGATTTTGCATTATTTATTTGACATACTGAAAATGGCATTGTTCTTCTTTTCTTTTATGGGAATGACATGATTATAACTAATGATGATAAGACTTGTATTGCAGAATTATAATAGTATCTTAGTCAACAGTTTGAAAGAAAGATCTTGTCTCTCTATTTCTTAAGGCTTGAAGTCTCTTCCACCCTTTGGCCATATATAGTTTAAACTATTTAAAATGTCACTTTAAAATTAATTCAAATTAAATAGTTTGGAGTTTTAACTCTACTAATTTCAAAGGGTATAAATTAAATATGGATTATTATTCTATATATTGATAATAATGAAGATTTTAAACTTTACAAGCACAATTAAATGATTACCATCTGTCCATCTAATAATTAATTAATTAATTTAGATTCATAGATATACCTAATGGGAAAATTATCAACCATTTAAGTTTATTTGTATAGTTTAAAAGTAGGGGCACTTTTAAAAATAACCCTTAAAGATAAGATGTTTTCAAAAATAACCCTCTTTATAATTTTAACTATTTTTATTCAAGTTGGACAAAATTATCCTTAATGAAATTACATGCCATAATGTTACATGTCATATACAAAAATATGTTACACGCCATGGATAGGCTGTTACACGTCATGGATAGGCTGTTACACGCCATGGTTAAGTTGTTACACGCTACATACAAAAACATGTTACATGCCATAGTTAGATTGTTACACGTCATGTTGAAAAAAAAATACTATTGTTATACACCATGTACAAAAATATATTACATGCAATGGTTACATGCCATGTTAAAAAAAATACTATTATTACACGCTATATACAAAACGGTGTTACACGTCATGGTTAGAAAAAGTTATTACACGCCATATTGAAAAAATATTGTTGTTATACGTCATATTCAAAAATATTTTGTTACACTTTAATGCCTAAAATATTATTATTACTTACAAACCAAAACTTCAAATCTTTTCAACTCTTTTCATTTTTTTTTATTTTTTTGACAATTTATCACCGATTAAAGTGTTTTTAACATGTTTTCATAAATCAAAACAAAAATTTTCTTATCAAAAACACCTATTTCAACTAAAAATCGAAAAAAATTTCTTTTGAAAACTTAGGTTTATAAATTTCAAATTCTTGAGTTTATTGGTGTCTAGGTTCCGAATTGATCCAATTAAAAACTAGTTCAAACCTCTGTGATCATTTCTATCGTTTTAGTTTTATTCAAAATACCTAAAAATCAAATTTTCCAAATAACACTCCAGCCAAGCACATCAAAACCATCGCTTGGAGTCTTAAAGGCGCGGGAAAGAGAAATCTGAAAGCACGAGAGAGAGAAATCAAGAGCATAACAGACGAATGCTGAAGAGAGAAATCGATAAAATTAGAAAAAGTGAGATGTTGAGAGAGATATCGAAAGCACAAATAGGAAGAAATTATGATGGATGGTTTAATTTATTTGAAATAATTTTAAGTGTATTTTTGTCAAGTTATGGCTAAATAGGGCTAAAAACAGTTAAATTTATTTTCATGGTTATTTTTGAAATGTCCTTATCAATGAAGATTATTCTTCATAATTTTTTCTTAAAAATATCTTAAATATATAATTAAGATAAGTTTTCAATTGAATAATTCATAAAAAAATGACAATAATAAAACTTACATTAATGCAGAATTCTAAATTATTTAATCAATAACCTTTATATTGCTCATCGAGTCATGGATGGGGTTAAATAATGGAAACTCCATTAATTTATATGCCAAGACTCAAAATAAGGATTCCCAACTTTGACAGTTTTGACAAATTTCAAATTCAAGGTATTTTCTTCTCTTCTTAGGCAATCAATAGATGAATACCAAGTTAAAAGAATTGGTCTTTTATAATTACCGATGTGCATTTCCCCTATTATTCTTGAAAATATATGCATAATACCCTATATTTGTTTTCAATAAACTAAAGAGTAAATCCCAAAAGTTTTCCTTTACATGAACTTGTCAATACAGGTACCCCTATCCCTTGTGTTGTTCTATGAAGTAAAATTGATCTGTTTGTTCATTCACGTACCAAAAAGGGTTGTTCCAATTCTGAAGTGAAGACACCAGAGTAGCCCCAACCCAAGGGACAAAGTAGGAACTATAGATTTGTTTGATACGTAAACCAGGTCCAAGGGCATTGACCCATGCCACACATCACATCCGAAACAATCAAACCTTGGAGAGACAGGAAGTAACGCAATACCAACACCGATTTTAACTAAATACAAGTAAAACAAAGTCCGTGAGCCCTGGTGGGCCTTACAAAGTGAATATACACAAAACTACTGCACATAAAACATTGCATCTGCTAAAACTTGGCAACATTACAACAATGAAACATTTTGTTTTTTCCTAATTTTCTACTCACGCCAGCTACCTAAACCAAAGCACGATGATACTTTTTAACTTATTCTTAAGAAGACAGTGGGTGAAAATCTAGATTTGCGTTAGACTGCATTTATGGCAATCTTCATTCCAGACTCACAGTGGCCAGCAGTGTTGCATATGAAGAAGTTTGGTCCCTTCGCCAGTGTTACCTGATCTTTCCCTGAGGTGTACACTTTTGCGCCTGCCGGTGTGGTGCAACCGGTGTAACCTGCTCTGTTCACACCTACCACATTGTGGATTGTCGCATCGTAATTGAATACTGCAAAAATCATACACATATGCAAGGATGTACTTTAAAATAGCCCATCAGCAAACAATTCCTCATTATTTGGGTTAATTGATGCTTACCGAGCACGTCACCAGCCCTGAAGCTTTTCCCTTTTGGCCAAGTAGCCATGTTGAAAGTCCAACCGCTGGCGCCTCCAACAGTATAAGTTGCCGCATCAATATTTTGAAGGCAAACCAGTAAACACAGTAGCAAAGCAACTGTGAACTTGGCCTGATAATCTGCCCTGCCTCTTCCCTGAGCCATCTCAGAGCAAGGGTTGTATTCTACCAGAAGAAAGTGGAAGTTCTAGGAGTAGAAACCTGTTCCACTGAGTGAGGTGGGCAAAGCAAAAGTTTCATTGCCTTTATAAGCAGTTTCAAAAGGTTGGTAGTGGGTCCAAGTTGGTCGGAAAAAGTTGGGCTAGGCCAATGACAAGATGGGTGAGCTTTCAAGATTTTCACTGATTAAAGTTGAAGCCAACAACCGCATTACAACTAATGTGTTGAACTTCTGCTGTTGATAATGAAGATTTGCAATATTTGAAGTGCACAATGGCATGGTAATTTGGAGAAAAGTTTATTTAGTGCTATCCATAGGGAGGGCTGTGATAGCTCCATCTAAAAAGTGCTTGGCTATGGGACTCACATGGAACAGTACTAGCAGCCACCACCCGTGAACTCAGATTGAAGTTATGGACCACCGCTCTGAGTTTTCTCTCTTAAAAGGTTAATTTAAAGAAATCCGGTAAAGTATTACTCAAAATTTAAATTAATTAATGATAAAAGAAGGTAAACATTTTATTGCAAGGAGGGAGGGGCGACTAAGAGAGCAAGCATCTACAGGTCTGAACTGCTGACTTGTACCCTTTTATAATATCTAGACAAGAGAACTAATTGCTAAAGAAAACCAGGCAAACATTGTTAACCCAAGGTTTAGGAAAGCAAAGTCTGAAGATGTCCATTCACAAGGTGAAGGACCAATACAAGATTTTGAGGGACACTAAATATGGATTTTTTTTTTCACGCAAAAGGTCTGAACTTTTTTTTTTATTCTACCCACCTTGCATTTTAGCAGTTTGATTAAAAAATATCATCTCATGCTCACTAAAATCGAGTCTGTATTAGGCTATAGCCTGTAAGCTATTTTGACAGGGAGAAAATAGTTATCAAACAAATGGTAAGGTACCTGAAGAAGACATTCTTAAGTTTATGAGCAAGATTGCCAGCTCTATAGAGCTAGCATAAAGTTGAGTTAGTAATACAGCAACAATCATCCATATATCATGGTTACATGCATAATTTTTTCTCACCACTGTTTAATCACAGGCTGGATAGTTCTGATTCTAAATGAACACATGGATTTTCATAGCAGTTCCTTCGGAGAATGATGAATTGTAGTTTTGAAATTCACATGATCCCCCTCCTTGGTAGAAACAACTTTCGAGTTAATTTCTCCCTCCCCTAAACCCTCACATGATTTTACCCCTATTGCACTCTTCAGCTTTGAATAACGTGCTTCCAGTTCAAACCAAGATTCCAACTTAACCAGTTGATTAAATTCTTCGAAGGTAGCCATCTTTTGAAGGTGATCTCTAGTAGTTCCATTTTCCTTCAGGGTCTTAAGAACATCAACCAATGCTCGAGCTGATGCATAGACGGTGGCAAGTGGATATACGATCAAATGAAAGCCCATTGCTTGCAGCTCCTCAGGTGTGTGCAATGGTGTGACCCCACCTTCAATCATATTACAAACTCTGTACCCTTTTGTTTGGTGTCCAATCTCCTTAAGCTCGTCATCATTCCTTGGTGCCTCCACAAAGCAAGCATCTGCTCCTGCCTGCAAAACTCATGGTAAAATCTTTAGCAACATCATCTAGAAGAGAACTATATATTTCCCATACCATATTTATAGTAAGAATTTCAAAATTACTTAGATATGGAAGAAAGTTTAAACATAGAATTAATAGGTATATGTCCACTTAACTGAGATGAACAGAGAATAATTTAATGAGTCATGAAATCATTATGGAATTTTGTAATGATTCTATTCATGTTTTGATCAATAACACTCTCCTGCAGGATTTAGAAGAAGACCAGAGAGAATTTTCACCATGGGAAAGATGTGGTGGTTCATAGGCCCTTACAAGAAATGTTTGATCCATTTTTGAATCCAATATTTATGTCAAGGAAAGACAAATTTAACAGTTAGAAAAGAAGATTTTTTGCCTAACATAAATCTCCCATATTAAATTTCCTGCTCTTCAGTGGGCTTAATGCTAAATGTTCTTGGCTTAATTCAAACAGTGATAGGTACAGGCAGAGACATGCTCACTATAAGATATTCAAAATGAACATAATCTGGAAATGAGCCCCCCAGCTCAGTGACAACGCAAATTTCTCCTTTGCCACTTTGCCTTCTGTCAGTAACATGCTCTAATCTAAAATTCGTTCTACTTTCTGAAGATTTGGTCACAGTGGGCAGATAGAAGTAAAAGGCAAGGAATAAAGCAGATTAGAGCAAATGCACTTTTAGCAGATCACATGGAAGACACATCACCATAAAAGGGAAGGCATTTCATAAAACCAGAAAAAAAGAAAAGAATATGTTGCACGACGAAGCATGATAAAATTGCAAGGGTACCTCCATGTAAAGATTAGCTCTTGAGATGGCATCGGAGAGACCAGTTTTTGCTGATGTAGCACGTGCATCAGTTCTGGCCACAAGGAAAAAGTCAGAATCTCCAATGGCATCCCTTGCAGATGCAATTTTGGCAGCATGCTCCTCAGCAGGGATAACCTAAAAGAGCAAGTTGAGAAATGAAAAATTGAGTTCTTCCCTACACAATAGCATTCAATTGTCAATATAACCACCTAAAGAAATAAGAGACATTTGCTTGTCTTCAGACCTAACATTTTGATCAAGAAGTAGCATCCTTTGGGTAAAGAAATTCCTAATAAAAGCAACCGGGAATTAGAAAAGGATACCTGTTTGCCATGCATATGCCCTGGTTCGAAGCAAAAGGCAGAGAAGTAATTAGAACTCTAAGTAACATGGATAATAAAGAAAAGTAAACCAAATCTTCCAAGTATAATTTGAAGTTCTGTAAAAAAAAGAAAAAAAGTCTTATA